AAACCGCATAAACACATTTCATTACACCAAATACACAAAATAATGTTCTTTTTAGCAGCATCATATGACCCCTTTAAACTTTATGAAACTATAATGAATTTTCTGCATAGTTAATCTATTGAACCATTTACACAGATATTTTGGGGGGCATTTTTTTATGATTTTGGTTGGCATGTGTACACTTAAAGGCAATAATATGTAGGCTACTACAATAAAGAGGCAACTTAATTTTAACTGGAGAGCAATAAATAAAGTCATTTCATTCAACTTGACAAATGCTTTTAATATAATTTGGATATACATCTTGGGATTTTTAATGACCACAGAGAGTCAGGACCTCGGTTTAACGTCTCATCCGAAAGACGGTGCTTTTTGTCAGTATAGACGTCCCCGTCACTACACTGGGGCGTTAGGACCCACGCAGACCACAGGGTGAGCACCCCCAGCTGGCCTCACTAACACCTCTTCCAGGAGCAACCTAGTTTTCCCAGGAGGTCTCCCATCCAGGTACTGACCAGGCTCAACCCTGCTTAGCTTCAGTGGGTAACCAGTCTTGGGCTACAGGGTGTACAGGGTACAATAATCCACAAGCAATCCACACGAATCCAGTCCATCAGTTAACGTCTTGTGGAAAAAAAGCTGCGTGTTTGTAATAAACAAATCAATTATTAAGCATTTTTAACTTCAAATTGTTGCTTCCAGCTAAAACATGTGTCATCTATCCATAATATTGCTTTCTCTGGTGAAAAAGTTGTCTAGTCTGATTTGGGAGAGAAATATGCACAGATCAAGCACCATTTATATGCGAAAACAGTTCAAAATAGTTCTAGACAAATGTGTCAGTAGATTTTGATGTGAGAGGAAAACAGGACATGGACTTTTTTTTCCCACTGGAGGAAGCGTTATTATGGATTATGGACTCATATTTTGTCCAGAAGCAATGGTTTATAGTTTTTTTTTGTTGTTGTTGTTTGTTTTTGTTTTTTTTTTACAAACATGTAGCTTTTCTCTTCACAATATGTTGCAGTATGTAACAATAGCATGTTGAATAATTGCACATTAGAGTCTGTTTACACCAAGTCTGATGTGACTAAATTACACAAAAAGTATTAAAGTAATAGTTCACTCACACATGAAAATGTACTCTCTCTCAGGCCATCCCAGATGTAGATGAACTTGTTTCTTCATCTGAACAGATTTGGAGAAATTTAGCATCACATCACTTGTGATGCTCTGCAGTGAATGGGTGCCGTCAGAATGAGAGTCCAAACAGCTGATAAAAAACATCACAATAATAATAATAATAATAATAATAAT